CCTGAGCTAATAGTAAAAGACAGCAGTGGTGGTAATCTTGCAGTTAGACAACTTTCTGAAAGCTGAACAACAACAGCTTCTGATGCACCGCTAAGTTCATCATCTGGTATCAATCAGTTGTCGTTGGTGTTGTCATCCACAATGAGAAGGACGCCCATGAACTCAAGTATCTTGTGCAATGACTATGATAATATTGGTGCGTTTGGAAAGACGAAAGATATTGCTCAGTTTAGTGAGGATAAGTCAAGTGTAAACGAGAGAGTAATTGTTAAATTGACTTGCATGAATAAAGGCATTCCTAGTTTCAAGTTACTATTTGAATGCTATTATCTTTGGTGTAAATTACTCTGTGCCTACGCTTGGTTGACCAGATACTTCGTGTGTTTGTTCGTCATCTATATTCTACGATACAATGACATGAGCGTGTTACTGTTCAAATTTGAAGATATAGCCGGTAGACAGAAGTCAGAAAATGAACTCTTCGACGATTTTCCAACGTAGGGCGTCAACGTGAGAAGGGTTGTAGGCGTACTGGTGTAAGTCCTACAATTCTTCAAAGGGTAGTGCATCAATGAGCAGTCCAATGTGCTTGGTGTGTGATTTTGTACATATGTTTATGTTGTATATACTGAATTGGTATCGTCTTTCATCTGTCTGTTGATAATTTTGTTTGTGTCTTGACGTCTTCCACTTTTATCATCAACCTGAGAAGGAATGTAGGCGTACTGCTGTAAGTCCTAGAGTTCTTCAAGGGTAGTTTGTCATGCCAGAATCCACAACATTTGATGTGTTGATTGTACATATGTTTGTGTTAAATATTTGTGTGAGTTCCAATTATCGTAATTTTTGGTTAATCTTGTTTGTGTCCGGACATTCCACAAATTACAATCGTCAACCTGAGAAGGGTTGCAGGCGAACAAGTGTAAGTCCTTCAATTCTTCAAAGGAATTCCGTCAAGAAATGATCCGCGAGGTTATTTGTACTATTTGTATATACGTGTGGTGTGTCATATCAATTTGTGATTTTGGATTAATTGTGTTTACTCGTTGTTTTCGTACCTTGTTTTTATTGCATAATTTTGTTAAAATTTTCGTCGTGATTACTTCTGAAGTTGATTCTAGCCTTCTACATCCGTGAATGAATTGATTGATGTTAGAGACAGCAGGGGAGGCTATTGCTGAGAATGAAATGCATACGGAGATAATTGTTAGCTGCGGTCCGACTCGCCGGGGAGCAAGAGTGTAGACGACTGAGGCTCGCATACGTCACCGTTACTAGAATTGAAGCAGAATGAGTGACAAGCGATTTCAGTGGTAATTGGCAGTGAGTAGATAAGAGGATGTGCGTAGAGTATCATGAGTTGGTGCTATGGTCACGTTGAATTCTGAAAGAGTCATTCTAGCAAGTGGCGATTGTGTTGCAAGATGTCAAGAGGAGGTCTCTGTCTGGAGGCGCAGGTCGTCATTGATGTGTGAGATTGTGCTGTGGGTGTGCTTGTGGTGTGTTGGCTTTTCTGTTTGTTTTCCATTTCAGCTCCGTCCGTGTGACCCAGGTTCTCGCAATGGCATCCAAGTCAACGTGTATTGGTCGTGATGGAAAAAAGGTTTGGATCCTTTTGTCGCCAGGAGTGTCAATGGAGTTGAAGATTGAACGATCAATTCGTGGCTGTTTGCTCAAACCCAACTTCCCCAAAATTTTCACAGACGATCAATCAGTCAATCATCGTCTCATCGGTCGCTGTTCAGAAAGAAGTCAGGTGAAAACCGTCAGAATTAATATTGGATTTAGTATTGTAATATTTTTCATAGACCTTAGTTTTAAAGCTTAGTTTTAAAGTTGGCTATATGTTGGTTTTACAATAAAGAATTCTCGAGTCGCCAATCGGTGTTTTGGTTTTCGCATCCGTTATTACTAAGCTTTTCTGGAAATCTTCGAGCGACAGCGTGAGTCCCAGCGTAGCAAGAGCTGGGCATTGACGGTTGAAGTGACGTCGCTGACATATATATAGAGGTGAATATACGCATTAGTGCATCCGTGACTCTCTTTTGAACTATATTTTGGCCCGCAAGTGCTGATTCAAATTCAGCTGTATTAAAGGGCGCCTTATACGTTTAATTAAATGACTTGTGATTATTTCAGAAACAGCGTCACTTTTGAAGGCCACTCTCACAGGCAGTGTCTTCTTCGGCGTTGCGGTTCGTCTGGGGACGGTTTCTTCCTTGATATTTTTGTGAATGGACCCCCTAGGTTATTCATTACTTAAGAGAGCTGTATGGGGATTTTTTAATTCTATATGGTCTGTGTCTATAAACAAGAGTTTCCGTATTCTAAGGCATGGGGAACATGTAGAGGCATTAAACTGTTGAACCTATTATATTGCCCTGTAAATGTTGGCTTCCCGCAAATCGACCTCACCAATGTGCCACCATCTTTTCTCCCCAGCATCACATAGTATATTGAAAAGTCAAACGCAGAATTCGACTGTGGGGACCATTAAAATTTCCAAGACGTTTATCGTCAAAAGTTATAAAGATGTCTTCTATATATATGTCCTATGTATCGGCAGACTCAAGAGAGTTTCTTTCAGTGGTTCACTGTCCAAGCTCTCTATGAAGACGTCCATTAGGAGAGGTTCCAATGGTGTCCCCATAGTAACTCAGTACCCTTGATTATAGACGAGACTGTCAAATCTAAACTGCAGACTAAGCGAGCATCTCACAAAAAGGCTAATGTAGATAATTATTTAGCAATTCAGTGTCCCAGATTCTCAGATCTGTGTAATCTCACAGATAACTGATATTTTTTACTACTCATACACTTACGAATAATGAACAAACTAACCCGCAGGTTGCATTTATCCCACCAACGCAACTAATGAAGTCAAGTTATCTAAAATGCTATGTTTACGTAGATTTCTTCCCGCTGGCTTGAGAGCTTCAGTGGGTCATTCATTTGTAGAATGATTAGGCGAGTTCAGCATAACCAATATAGGTCACAGGAGGACACCATGTGTGCTTTAAAAAGGAGGAATGGTTGAACCGTGTATATATGGAGTAATGACAAATTCTTCCTGCAAATCCCCTAAGGTTTTTGTGGTTCCTTCTCAGTGCTCACTGGTCTGTCTTTTACGATCGTCCGAATTAAGGAATTTTACTCCTAAAAAAATTTGTTTTTATTTATTTATTTTATTATAGCTTGACTCCATGCAGTGTTTCAATACATATATGGAATTTTCGGCATGTGATACTGGTAGCCCAAATTTATCAGGCCGACCGTTGATATCGGCGAGCGTCCTAACCGCTGTGCCACCGACGCAAATAATTTATTGGGGCGATTCTCTCGATTTAAAGTAACTATACTTGATCACATATCTGGGCTAATTATCATTAAATTATTGTCATTCAAAAGTTCATTTAATTGTCTTTTATGTTACATTGATATCATCGTCGTTGTCTACATTACGCCTGTAAGTCTTGTTGTTAACTATGCAGCACTAAATTGTCCTGGGTCTCCACTAGATGCAGGAAGTAAGTGCTGTATCTGATTCATAGGATTTCCACACTGCACCCTGATATCTGAATCTCTAACTGTAGATTGAATAATACAGATACCACAAGATAAGACTAGTATCTGACTGTTAGCTGTGCCAGGATAGTTAAAGATATATTTCTCTCTTGGATCCGGTAACTTAATACGAGATCCGGATGTTTTGTAACCTCTCGAAATCTTAACTCTCATATCTTTGGATATTTTCTTTAACTTATAGAACATATAATCCTCAAACAAGATACACTCAGTCTCCAACAGTCGTTGAGACACGTTATTCTCGAATTCCGGAAGACCTATTTATGTTGCATCCATCGAATTCAGTGTGTGATGCCTTGGAGTTTGACCAATAAGATAAATAACTCTTTACTCACCCTGCTGGTAGAGTTATTCAAGGAGAATCACTAAGCCAGGTGAAGCTTGAAATAATTCCTCTTACTCGTTCAGAAAACGAACCACTTTGTGATGATCACGGGGCAAACGTTGCCCTGCATCCACCTGGCAGTAAGATAAAAATCACAAGAATTGACTCTTTATATGGTAATCAGCAAATTACAAAGGAAAAACTGAACATTATCTCTTATTACCTTAGGTAAAATTACCTAAAACTTTACAGAACTTTTTGTTCATATTATTGACATCCTATTAAACTGACAGGATTGAATATCTATCATTTTGTCTTTTAGTCAGATAAATATTCTTGATCACCTTACGCAAATGGGTTTATAAACTTGGCTAATTGGAGTAATGTCCGGTTTCTAGACATCTCACTGCTACGTACATACAAAGGTTACTAAAGTGGAAAAAAGATCGCTAGTTCAAATATCCGTAGTGTATAATGCGCTTCTCATAGGATACAAGTAAAGCAAAACCTTCTAAATACATGATGTCCTAGTGTTTATCCAGTTTAAGTGAATCGTGCAGAGGAATGAATGAGATCTCTAGGCGAACTTTATAATGGGACATCGCGTTATAGTGATTCACAGCTTCTCTGAGGACTATTGATTGGAATACATATATTTTTAGAAAAATAATACTTATTAAACATGTAGCAATCTGGCCTATTAAGCGTGAATATAGATGAGTGAAACTATAAGGGAGGAATTCATACTTTCTATCTAGAAGTTGTAAATCTTTCATTTTCTGATACCATGAGAACTGACGCATTGTTGTTATGCCGCTGGATAGCTTTTCTAAATCACAGAAAGGAGAACACAAATCAGATGGATGAATTATGTAAAGGCATGCTTGATCTGGCAACACATGAACAGGACAGTGGTGTTGAGAAAATTATTTGGTTTGATATGAATTTCAAGTTTGTGTAATAATTAGGATCAGAACTTACTCCTACAAAACATTAAGCCGTCTAATCAATAAGGAAGTGGACTGTCAGATTTATCAGTTAATATCCAGTCAAACAAATTGAGTCTGTCTGCTCCCGCACTGATTGCATAATGCGGGGTAGAGATGAACTGCGAACCTCTAGCCCCAATAAAATGAAGGTACAGAGACAAAGTTGAATATTTTAACCAAGTGAAGGAATATGATGGGCATAGGATGAAAGTACTTCGTTGGTAGGACAATGGTTGCGATTATGCCCCTATTCAACATTATTGTGATGTAAATCAGAAGCAGATGTCAAGGGAAAAACGCCACATCGATAGTTCGAATTGCAGTGTATAAATTGAAGTAAACGCAGGGTGTTTGACAATCAGTGACGGAACCTAAGCGATTCAGGGTAAGACAATAGCGTGTAAAGTTTCTCGATTGAATACATTCGGCTTAAAGAATCCACTAGCTTAGTGCAAGTCAGCACCCAGTATCTCTGTGTTATGAAACCTCAAGCTATCGTTTTCATGAATTAATATACTGCTACAGAATCAGGAACAAGACAAGGTCCTTCGGAGGCTATGAGTATTCTTTATTAGATTGATACAGCTTAGTTCCTTGAAAATTTGCAAGAAATATCTGCCCAAAGAAATCAATTTGGTTCACACTGGTGACTGTCAAAAGTGTCATTGAATATTGTATAATGGACTTCATTTGACTGCAACGGTACGGTGTGTGCTTGTAACAGAAACAAAACCTATATTATAACAGTAATCACTGTTTTTTTTTCTCTACTTGCAGGAAGACACCCGGGAGTCAACTGTCTTAACCCGAAGATACATAAGTTGCAAAGCCAAAACATTAATGCAGCCCAGAAAGACCGTCATACTCTAAAACTGTACCTCCGCACTTTTAAAGAGGTAAATATAGCAAATCTGCAATAATTCTCTAGAATTAGTAACAAAAAGTCGAACATTAGTTAGGTGTGTAAAAGATAGGTTAAACGTTTAGCGTTAGAGCCCTGAAGATTGATGATTAGGTGATTAAAATAATTTGAGTCGAGGTTACGCATTTAGATCGAGTAGGAATACAGATAAAGTGCAAATTACGACGTAATGAACAAAATTCCATAATTTAACTAAAGCGACAAAGCTGGGAGAAAATACAATTATATTCACTATGGTAGGGGACCACTGCAAGTTCTCTGGTGTCGGATACATCTTATTTCCTTTTTAAGAGGCTTTTCAAGTTGGAAAACACTCGGTTACTTGACAGACATTCCCATGCTTAAGGTAGGATTGGCCCAGTATATCATAACGCGTCGATGGCACAGTGGTTTGGACTCCCTGCGACCATGCACATGGTCCGAGGTTCGATGCCCTGCCGACCCACACCTGATATCTATGGTCGGCCTGCAAAATTTGAGCTACCGATATCCATGCTGAAAATTCCATACTTGTACCAAAAATACAGTGTGGAATCAAGCTGTAATCTAAAGTACATAAATAAAAAGTAATGCTTTTCCGACAATGTTGAGCCTATCCCTTAAATCTTGTAAATGACCCGTCAAATTCATTCCAAGTTTGCATGTGCCTGCTTGGCTTTCCACTCTGGTAAGATCGTTATTGCATTAACCTCAGGGAAATTCAGACTGGTTTCTGGGTTAGGTTGTTTTTGTGAGCATGATGTTTGCCTCAACTACATTCGTTACCTTAAGGTAATGAAAAGTGATAGAAATTCAAAATAACCATAATCAGCAGATAGGTACAACTAGAGGAAGAGCAACATGGAAAAACGTTAAGGTCCAGTGGATGTAGGAGATCACAGAGTGAATGCATCTGTGTGACACGTAGAACGGTTTCGAGCCATATCTCCAGCCAATGGTGCTCAGAATCTCGAGGTCTAAAACCTGGTAGTCTACACCTCTCCTACATAGCCCAAAAACAACAATCAGACTTGATAGATGGTTGTGAAGTTATGATATGACCATCCCTAACACTTTACCAACCTGGTCGTATGTCGACTAACATAGTTTGACGAAGAAGGCGATGGCTTTGGACGCGAAACACGTATTCTTGTTTCACAATCTCATTGACTAACTTCTAACACTGCGTCTACAGTATTCTGGACACCTTGAGCTGCAATCTGGGAATGTTTTGCATGTGATTCTCTCCCGTCACATGTAAACTGATGCTGCTGGAGTGGACTACATTGACTCCTAGGCTAGAAATAGGGAGTGAAAAGGTAGGGGGCATTGACCACTTCACTTATTCGGGGAGTTGCATCAGCCAGTGCCAGCGAGTTGATCGCTGACGAAATCTTAGCACGGCTACAGAAGGTTCGTTTGACATATGGTAGCTTACTCCACCTTTGACTTAGCAGACGCAATATCCGTCTGGTTGTCGATCAAAGGGCGTGTGTGCTACTCAACACTCCGCTCTGTCCTCCTTTATAGCCGTAAAATCTGGCCATTGAAAGTGGAAGGTATGAAAAGGCTAGTTGTCTTTGATCATAGGTGCCTGCGTTCTATCTCCCTTGTGAAGTAGTATAATACGGTGAGCAATATTTAGGTAAGGAGAGGAAATCAATCGCCGAAGCTGTGAAGTTACCGGTTGAAATGATTAAGACATGTATTATGCATTCACCCTAGGCCACTGATCGCCTTCGTCAACGGGCAATGTTAGCTGACATAAGGTCAGGTTGGAAAAGAGCCAGTGGTGGTCAAACCAAAAGATGGCATCAGTTAATGAAATCCACAACAGTTAGTTTAAGCCAACAACGTCGCGAGGTGTAAAATTCCTGGTTTTGGTCTTTGGGACTGTAAAAACCAATGGCCGGAGACGGTTGGTGATATGGCTCAAAATCGTTCTCAATGGCTGGCGCAGATGCATCCATTCCCTGTGAATTATGATATCCAGCGAAATTATATTGTTCTTCCATATTACTACTCTATTTGTCTCATATTTCTGTTTTGAATCGGTGTAGAGTTCTACGTTGAAACCAGCCAGTCAGTCAACACTGCGTGTAATTTTAATATTACTCACCATATTATACCACTTAACACTGGAGACAGTACGTAAACATATACGATAAACAATAGCTGGCCGTTTGTGAATGACCATCCCTCAACCGTAAAATGTTAGACGAACTGCTGCGCAGTACACGCGTCGTTTGATTTGTAGCCGTACTTCACATAGGCGCTGGAGATAGCCCGTTAGTGCCAGATGAGGCTTTTGTATCTGTTCTGAGATTTTGTCGAACGATTATGGCTTATGCAACCTCCCAAATACTTTAAGTAGTCAACACAGTCAACTTTTCAGTCCCTATCTTTAAGCTGTGGGTTGGTGAAGGCCTGTCTTGCAGCATCATTTCACATTTGAAAGTCTCAAATCTTATGCCGAAAAGGTTAAGGGTTTTGCGCAAGGTGTTCAGAAGTCTGAAGTTTGGTGGCTATTTCGCCTAGAAGAACAGTATCCACATACTCTAAACTCACGTGGCTGTACTCTTGTAAAGTTAGTGTCTAAGCATCTAAAATCAATTAAGGTCACATGCATTAATACATCTGTGGTGAAATTAACAACAGCATTTAGTGAAACACGGTATAGTTTCATGCATTTGTGCACGGCGATGGCAGATATGGTGCTGACATGTTAGGTGATGATATGGGGTTACTGATAACCGATATTCTGTTCCTTTACTTTCTCCTTCTCCGACCCCTCAATATATCAAGCTATTGTGGTGAAATTTTTCCTACTTCCGTATAGAAATGCTTTATTTATTTGCGTCATGATATGTTTCCACTGAACTTATGTCTGCAGACATATCAAAGTATATAATAAACTGTGTAGCGTAATCACGTGAAGGGGTTTACTGGAATTTATGTATTCATTAAATCCTGCTATATTTACTTCTATTCTTTGTTTTATATTGAAGTAAGGTGGTGGTGTTATTGGCGTTTCTAATTGTTAATAGGTATTCACATGGTGCAAGAGTTAAAAGCGCGAAAAATTCTGGCAACAAAATCTGAAGCCATTAGTCAACACTCCATCCAAACAAATATTTCTCAAAAAAAGTATCAGTGTAGCTGGCTAATTACTGACTCAAGATAGAAATCTGTCAATAAGTACATAAGTTTGTATTTCGATGAAGAAAGGAAGACGAAATTCGCAGTATAAAATGATATCATTCTATTTCACAGGTTCTCATCAGCTGCAGACTACCTGAAATTATAATGATTATATAGATGATAATAACATACTTTAATGTTTGAGTGATTGTAGAGAAGAGATACTGTAAAACTGACGCATTCAAAATGAGAGCATTACAGTTTCAGTTTTCATCATCAATTTATATGCTTCAAAAGTAGAAAAGAGGGGGGAGGGGTTAAACAGAAAAAAACTAACAAACAGTGTTAGCTTGTAGGTTCACATAGCGGTTACAGTTTTTAAGATTGAGATTCGTTCAGTGAGTTGAGAGCACTGAATTAGATGACTAATTAATGTAATCAAGATCAAATTTCAGTTACCAAGGGAGTGAGAGGTTAATCACACTCTCTGTATGCATAAGTCTGGTTTAAATCGTTTGATGGTGATTGCTTCGGCAAATTTACTACGATTCGCCAAACATAAGTTTGTATTGTCACACCTCCAAAAAGCATACGTAAAAGTAAAGTATTCATCACATCCCAGCACCCACATTCCATGTAATTAAAATAAAATTCTGTTCAGACTATTTCTGCAGCATTATCTTACATCTGGAATTTTAGCGAAAAAGCCATATTATTTAACCAATCTGGATGAATGTAATTTTTTTAAAGTGCCAAGTCGAGTATGCTAAAAATTCATTATAATGATTATCATATACCCAATGCCCAAATTTTTTCAAACCGTTAAAAGTGAAATAGGTTTGAACATATATATACTAAAAATTCTTCATTTACCTTTGGAGAATAAGTATTAAAGTTTCATATAAAAATAAACCTCAGCATTTCACTTCAAAATATGAACTGTAGAATTATTCGTATTTAAGTATCAATTAGGAGTTTAGTCATGGAGAAATAAATTCGGTTATACAACTAAGTCATTGATGGAAAATCGTTTCGCATATATTGAACTACTTTTAAAGTCTTTTTAAATCATAATGTACTGTACTTTTATATTTATGAGATAATTCAGTTAGAAATCAATAGATTCACCAACCAAAGATGTAATTAACATTTACTACTTATATTCCGCAGCCAAATGCGGTTACTGCACATTAGATGTATTAGATTAGTATAAATTTTTATGATAGCTTTCGTCACAAGTGGACAACAACAATGATACTGGTATTAAAGAATAACTTTAGAAAGTTGAAGTGAATAAACGGTTGAGATTTAGGATGTGATGTGTTGTACAAGATGAGAAGCTCCCCTTACCTTCTGAAATCTCTTAACCGGGACTGATCATTAGACATCTTGAATTGTATGGAGGATTTAATCATGAGCTGACATCAGTTAGAGAACCACTATGTCAGCTCATGATTAAATCCTCCATACAGTCAAACCAAATCCCTACAAAACCAATACTTAAACATCTTGAATTGTTGAATATGTTCACTTCTTGGACAATAGGAACTGATGTTTGTAGGTGCCAGGTGCTATTCTGTGAAGGCAGAGCTGTAGCATTCATTTGAAAAGATTTGATGCTATGCCGCACCAAGTTTCAGATAAATACTCAAGATACCCGACTCCTAGCCGTTCTATTTATTTGAATCAAATAGGTAGTTAGAATCATTGACCTCTGCACGTATTTATGGTGCATTTTGCAACCATGTACATTTTTTACAAGCCAAGAAGCACAAAAAATGTTGTGATCTCTTAAGGAGTCTCTGTCAGAGCTGATTGTTTTCCCCATAAGTAAGGACCGGCTGCTATAGGCGTGTTTCTTCTGTTTGTCCACTTAAATCATTTATAATTTGCCTTTTTGATTTTTATTTACCTAAAGTTTTCTATAATCGGAGATGGACCCAGTACTAACACCAGAGATAATACATATTGGCTCACGTCATTACAGAAAAAATGCATCAAAACAGTGTTTTGCCCAGGCGTTTCCTACATCTATCAGTCAGATTGAAGAGATTTCAGATGCTGAAGAGGTTGATGTTGATGAAACAGACCCTGAAATCTCAGAATTAAGCAAAAATATCATTATGGTTGAAAATGGATACACTGCAACGATTAATGTTCCGTCGATGTTTCACAAGTTCATCATTGGTGTTCAACACTCAAAGAAAAAACTATTGGAAGATGAATTTCGATGCAACATTGAAATCCCATTGTTCAGTTCTAATTCTTCAGTGATTTCTGTTACTGGTTCTTCGAAATTCAATGTCTTGAGTGCTTGTCGTCGTATTCTTTGGATAGTATCTGATGCTCGTATTCGTTGCCAACCAACTCACTTCATATGCTTACCAGTCGCGTGCCAGGTAGTAAAGGAAAACTTCCAGAAATTCCGACAGTCTGTGTTGCAGGCTGCCAAAAAGTCTGCTGCTCACGATTTTGTGGGTGTAGATAGTTCTGTCTTTCATTCGACATCCACACTGCATTTCACTCTAGTCACACTGGTTTTGGCTGACAAATATGAGATTGAAAAAGCTTGTGATGCACTGGGAACATTTTGTAAATCTGCAAAAGGTTATGAACTGTTTTCCCGTGGTCCTCTCAGTCTTACTCTGAGGGGTCTAGAGTATATGAATGATGACCCCGATTCTGTCCATGTGCTGTACGCTAAGGTAAACCTTCTTTTAGGGAATTATATTTTTTGACCATAGATTATTTGAAAAGAGTCAATGTAGCTGTTTGTTAAATTCACTACCAACAATTACTATTACTATCATCACATTTGTGCTAGTTAAAATTTATCTTTTTCATGAAAGTGAACAAATCTGAGTGTAGTGTGATGACTTAAGACTAAGCTTCACAGGATAATAGTCTTCTTCCCGTATAAATTTCAGCAATACACAGCCTGAAGAATATAATAGTAGGTTGTAGAACTGGCTGTATCGTATAAGTAAGCATGGGAAACGAGTGTTCTATCATTGTGCCTATCTCTAAAAAGTGCCTAAATAATGCGTGTGAAAACCACCGCGGTACTAGTCTGTTACCAGTTGAGTGTAAAATACTAGTTACTGTAGTGCTTAACGAGCTGTATACAACGCAGCAGACACTGATTCGTGGGGGATAAGCTGGATGCATTGATCACATTTTTGTAAGCTTCTTGAACATCGTGTTATGTACTTGTCTTCAGTTGATATGATCACAACTACAGTCGGCATGACCGAATAGATTTATGCGTGGGTATAATAATACTGACGCAATGAATAACTCAACTGATATGCTAGATGCACCTATCCGTTCTTGGTAACTTCCGCCTCACTGAGCCATGTAAGTATTGAACGACAAAGACTGGCCTGTGACATTTAGGATGACATTTTATTGGAAGAAAACGCATCATATTTATATATTCTCTAACTACATTAAAATCGACCCAGGGTAGTGGGAATAGATTGTTCTAATTGATAGGAGATTCGGCTACGTTAGGCAAAGAAAAACAAATATTACTATTGGTTGGAGACTTGACCAAAACCAAGGTAAAAAATGGATGGCGAAATTTTACAGTCATCAATCACATTCGGAATCATACGATGACTACTATTTTAAGCTGATTCCTATCACATCGTCTGTAATATCACAGGCTAATAGACTTTTAATTTTAGGTACCAGGACTACCTTCATTCTGTCAGACAGAACTGTTATTTAGAAATCGTCTGTTAGAGCGAGGTGTTACTTAGCACTGTATGGTTGATTAAGGGAAAAGTCGAGTACGTAAAGGTTTCACTGCTTCTGTTCAGACACACATATGGTCGTTTGGTTGCAGTTCATGCGGGGATCTAAAAGGGATGTACAAACTAAAATCCAGTACTGATCGGGAACATTCAACTGTCGAAAAATGTAGAGTATATTTGTCTTTTTTGACATGTGATCACGTTCACACCACACATTCAGAGTCAAATTATCACTCTTCGTGCAAGTAAGTTGGGTTTCTGTGCTTGACATACATTTCCGAGCCCACAGTTTGCTGTGAAAGGTGTTTAGGTACAGTGGAAACTACTTGTTATTTAGAATAACAAAAATGTTATTTGGCGTATGGAGTTTAGAGAAGATTCTATTAGACACCTGGAAGCTGTTGATCACTACAAATTTAAGGTCAGCAGATTTTTTTGGAATAACTTCAAGGGGATCCGGCTGACTAACATCCATGTCCCTCTGCCATATGGATACCAAGTAAAGCTTGAGAAAGATGAATTCTTGGGAAAAAGTAGGTCACAGGTTCGGATGACAACAAATTAATTAGATTGTATGTTTTCGTCACGTTTGGGAATATTGACATATTGGAGTCTGGTGTCTGTCAAATAACTTGGCTTGAAGGTAGAAGCGGACTCAGTTAATGAAGAGCTGTTTCAGAAGTTTCACTCTGTGAAACAGGTAATGAAAAATGATGCTAGTTACTTAAAGTGTTTTCATCATGCAGCTGTATAGAGCTTATGGCAAATCATCTGCATTGATGATAATTAAAGGTTTCAAGAGATTCTCAGTTTTGTCACCGTTTGCCTTCAGTTTCACTACCCTTGTACTGTTACCAGTGAATGCGTGTTCTGAGTGCACTTCGTTGACTAATTACCTGGCTCAATGACTTAATCGCAAACTTTTCTGATACAATTTAGTAAACACTAAAGAACAGACGCGTGAAATTTGTTGCTCCCTAGTGACTAATTAATGAGTTCATGTTATTAATACACACCGAGAATTGGATAGCTTGCAGAAAGAGTTCGTTGACTGACAGAAGGCAAGCTATGCTAACAACTTGACTAAATATACTGACAAATGGCTGTTTCATGCAGGATTATCCTGACATTTCAAATTGTGGCAACTTCTAATGTTGTACCTTGGCGTTATGTCTTGTGGTTACCGTAAAGTTAGTCAAGGTTAGTCTAAAGGTGCTTCTTATTCAAGGATAGGAAGTGAAAGGTTGAATATTCTGACCAATTTGCTTATGTAGAAAGTTGTATAAATCTCAATGGACTGGTTATTGTCAGAATCTCAATGTGGCACTTCTCTAACGAACTAATCTTTGGTATCAAGTGGATATCCAGCTACCCATGAGTTAACGTATACATGGAGCAAGGCTTCACAGTGTCCGACTTTACGACTGTAACATGCAATAGCTAAAGTGTGGAAATTATAGGCATTTAAGAGGCTTTTGATCATAGTTGTCGTTGCTCACTTGCTCATGCTGGGTGAAGGAAAATAATAAGTAATGTTGTGATTAGAACGTTAGATAAGGAGAGTAAGTGTATCAACTGAGGTTGTCTTAACAGGTGTCACTGGTGCCACCTTCCTTTACCAGCAATCTTTGCTGCAGTAGGATTCTATTAGAAAGTGTTAGGAATGGTCAGACAAAAACATGTCACTAATCCGTGAAGTTATTGACTGCCCCTGTGGTGGTGTACATTTTGTCGCCAGGATCCCTGTTTTACTGAAAATCAGATATTCATGTTGATATGACTTAAAGTAGTAAGTACATAATGGCGCAGATTTGCTCACTGAAATTACTACCCCACACATGTTCGTCCACTACAAAAGAGCTTTGTATCTATTCTGTTTTTTTCACCTATCTTATTAAAATGTGTAAACTTGAGTTGATACACATTCGTACAAATTTGTACGTTAATTCATACTCTTCTGTATTACCTAAATGATTTGATATATAAGCTGAATTAAATACAAAAACTATAAAGACGATTAGTTGTTTCTCAATAATAACGAGAGTTTTTAGCTCAGGATGAGTATGGTAATTACTTATTTTCTTCCTTCTTTTGATAATCAGTTGTTAGCTCTTTATTCTTAGGCTGGATGACTTCCTCTACCTTTCATTAAGTAGTTGTCTCCGTTGTCATCTATTTTTTTTCAAAGATTATTTAGATTCCTGATTATGGGAAGCTGTTAATTTTTTGTAATCGCTAATATTGATTGTGTTTCAAAAAATCGTCTTCATGTTTTCACAGCTAACTGAATCACCTGATGCACAGCGACTGCAAGCTATTGCTAATGAGTTACTGAATGTATTCACTGAAAAAAACTTGGTAAGCAATGGTCCATACCGTCCAGATAATTCTGTGAAGCTACACATGACTCTACTTAATTCTAAGTATCGACAAGAAAGAGATAGACAAAATGTATCTTCGTCCCATGGATTTTCGCCTAACGCTCGTAAACCGTTCAGCATAACAGGGATTTTGAAAGTCGCAGGGGATTTTTGTTTTGCTGAAAATCAGTCCTTTGATCAACTTTATTTGTGTGACCGATTATCATTCGATTCTACTACTCAGTTCCATAAATGCTGTTGCAAAATCGAATTTAATAATACCTGTGATAGTGAGTGCGTACGTGTTGTAAAAGTATAAACGGATCTACCTTTATAACACTCATTTCATCTCTCTTTGGCAATCGATCATTTTCATTCCTTCTTGATTGGTTAACCACTGTGTCTTGTAAATCCTGTTATTTGCTTCTAAGTAAATGTTCTTTATCTATTTTTCTAAGTTTGTAATTGCCTTAACGTTTGGTGGATAATGTATTGAAAGAATAAAGTATATAAAAATTACTCCACTTCCCAGTCTTCTTCTTTTTTCAAGAAATAGTCTGTAGGGATTCTGTTTGTTTCAGATTAGACTATGAAGTGATATCGGTTAGAGAACTGTTGAAAACCATGGAGTACCGGGCAACTGTTTCGTTCTAGTTTGAGACTCATTGACAGTACGCTTGTTAAATAATTGTTTAGTGCCATTGTTTATCATTACAATAATAAGGATGTTATTCAAAACAGTAGTAAGAATAAATTTGCTTACAACCTGGCTGAAGCTGCATCAATTGAGATGACTAGGATACGTACTTCGCGTCCAAAGCCATCGCCTTCTTCGTCAAACTATGTTAGTCGACATACGACCAGGTTGGTAAAGTGTTAGGGATGGTCATATCATAACTTCACATCCATCTATCAAGTCTGATTGTTGTTTTGGGCTATGTAGGAGAGGTGTAGACTACCAGGTTTTAGACCTCGAGATTCTGAGCACCATTGGCTGGAGATATGGCTCGAAACCGTTCTACGTGTCACACAGATGCATTCACTCTGTGATCTCCTACATCCACTGGACCTTAACGTTTTTCCATGTTGCTATTCCTCCAGTTGTACCTTTTTGCTGATTATGGTTATTTTGAATTTCTATCACTTTTCGTTACCTTTGTGTGCTACGTGGAGTGTAGAAACTTAAACTGCTTCACTCCTGTGCAAAGTTTCACGTTAAGACTCACCCAGACAACCAAGTTGATGAAAGTGAGTAGTTTTGTTGCAGTTTGGATAAATGTTAGTTTTTCCCGGTGAAACAAAATGTCGAACAATGATTGTGAAGGGAAATAGTAAATAGTAATGTTAAAGCGGTAAAATATAACCAATCACTGTAATAATATAATTGAATAACTGGGTTTTCTCTCAAATAATCAACGGTAGTAAGGAGATACTCAGGGACAAACATCACAGGATTCCGAAAATAATTAGAAATTGTTAAAAATAATAGAGAAAATTGGTAGCTCAGGTGGAAGATATGTAATTGATTGTGTTTTCAAGGCTACTTGGCTTAGCATAAGAATTTAGCTAGAGCCAGAATGATTGAGCCTGCTAAGTTAAATGATCTAGAAAAGAGCTCAGCCATCGTAATACATTCACTTGCATGTAATTACACAATAAGGTGGGATACAGTAAAAGTATAAAAAAGTGATGTAGTTAGGTGGAGATAATTATTGATCAGTGAAACTTTGTTCATCAAACCAACACCAAATACGGGAATTGGAAATAATGCAATGCATATACCGGAAATGTGGAAAATTTTAATCAACTACAGGGAGGAGAGAAAAGAATAAATAAAGTAGATTATGAAGCGGTGTGAATACCTTGATGTGATTATGAGCAAAAATTCTGATCTAAACTACATCCAGATATTGAAACTGCATCTCTGTCTAATATCTGAAAAACTTATCTATTATAAAAAACTGGATTTGTTTTATTATTATTATTGCTCCTTTGGGTTCCTAGTGGAACATAGGGCTTCAACTTCACGTCTCTACTTGATTCTGTCTTCTGCTGTACTTTTCACCTGCATCCATGTTAGTCCACACTCTTTCAACTCCTCTTCACATGGTCTCCTCCATGTCACTCTTGCACTGACGACCCACTCGCCGCTTCCCTTTCGGGGTGGTTCCACTCGAGCAATGGCCTGACGCGCGATGTCGCCCAGCCGCCTCTTGAGCGAGTGTCCAATCCATCTCCACTTTCTCCTACATATTTGTTGGGCGATTGATTCTTGCTTTGTTTGTTCCCATAGTTTCTTGTTGGTGATCCTTTCCGCCCATCTGATATTCAGTATAGAGCGAAGATAGTTGTTAATAAGGGTATTCAACAAGCTGTTGGAAATATACCTTGTGACCCTCCAAGTCCCTCATCCGTATAGAAAAACTGACTGACTTGACGTTTGTATTGAAAATCCGACCGAATTTTGTTGTTGATGCTGAGTGACGAAGGTATCTAGATTGGTTTCAGGTTGATGAATGTGTTTCTCGCCTTCCCGATTCTCACTCGATTTGACATCCTCGTCCGTTCCGACTTCCTGTAGTTGAGACAATGCTTCCTAGATAAGTGAATGATGCCACCTCTTTCAAACCCCTCCCGTTGATGGTGAATGGCTGCTGGCTGCATGTCGCTTCTGTTGTTGTTGGTGGTGGTTATTTTCATAACCTCCGTCTTGTCTATGTTCACATGGAGTCCTGTTTTCACTGTCTGCTTCTTCAACCAGTTTGTCGGTTTTCGCTTGTAATTCTTCGATTTTGTGTGACATCAAACATAAATCATCCACTCGCAAAATCCAGGTCTTCTAGGTTCCTCGCGTAGGTCCAGGATATCCCCGTCTTCTCGTTTCCCACTCACCGTCTGACGAATAATCAAGCTTCCCACTAGAACCCCAGGTTAACTTCCTGAATAGGGCCAGTCGCTAGTGAGCATCAGATTAATTTTCAAGTATTGGTTTTGTAGGCAGTAACTCATCGAAGAAGACATTGTGAAGTGGTCGCGCTATGTCGTGAATTGGCAGAAGTTAGAATTCAAGAACCATTGGATCGGGTCCCAGTGGCTCAATGATCTATGAGCTCGCCTTGTAACCAGAAGGTCCTGGGTTCGAAACATATAATTAATTTATCTACATGCACTCTATCCCAACTACAGTTGGAAGCATTATCTTATGGTTTGAAGGACAAAATTATTCCCATGAAAATTAACAAAATGGAAGTCCAGTCACAGTGTGAAAACCTCTATGATCAAATCTCTGATTTAACTCCTTCTAGTAAAGATAATCTGGACTGGTTTAAAGTTAAACTGGTGGACATTTCTCATCAATTTCTAAATGCTAGAATACACCAGAAAAATGGTTTATCAAAAGAACACCACGCCGCACTTAAGGAATCAATCGAAAAAGATTATCTTGTTATCCTTAAACCTGATAAGGGAGAAGGCGTTGTCATTATGAACAAATCGGACTATCAAAATAAAATGAATGATATCATCAAAGATCAGTCCAAATTTCTGGTGGACAATGCTACTGATAATGTGCTGCTTGTGGAAAAGCAGATCAATCGTCAGCTTCAGATTTTACCGATGCATGGTTTATATAAATGAAAACTTTATAAACAACTTAAAGCAATTGGGTCATATACTGCTCAGCTTTATGGCCTTCTGAAGATCCACAAAACTGGGAACCCACTGAGACCCATCTTAGACATGTAAAATTCGCCTTACCATAAAATCGCCAAATGGATTACAGAGTTCCTTACGCCTGCAAGAGACTCATTATCAAATCATTCTGTAAAAAGTTCATTTGATCTTACAGAAATGCTAGACACCTTGAACATTAAGGAAAAGGTTATGTGTTCAGTTGACATAGAATCTTTATTTACCGATGCTCCCCTTCATGAAACTGTTGATTTCATTTGCAGTTACATAACAAGCAATGGGATAAACTTACCTATTCCTGTAAGTTACATCAACGACATCATCTTGATGTGTACAGAAAATATTAGATTCACCTTCCAAGAAAAGGCATACAAAAAAATCGATGGTGTTGCGATGGGGAGCCCTCTGGGGCCCCTGTTAGCAGATATATTCATGTCGAAATTAGAGAAACAAATGCAAGGTATGCTAAAAGAATTTATGCTGTATAAACGTTATGTAGATGATACTCTCATTATTGGTAATAATAGTAAATCTATTGAAAACTTTATTACCCTATTTAATCATATTCATCCAAATATCCGAGTGACTTCCGAACTAGAATCGAATAACAAACTTGGTTTCCTGGATATTACAATGACTAGGAGAGATGATGGAACGATTCAGCGCTCTAATTTTCGTAAACAGACATGGAGTGGACAATATCTTCATTTTACCAGTTTTGTTCCTATCCAGTATAAACGTTCCCTAGTGGAATGTTTCTTCTCAAGGGCCCGGAAAATATGCACGAGTGACACTCTAATGGATGAGCTTCGACATATACATTCAGTTTTATTAGCTAGTGGTTATCCGGGGAACTTTATCACTTGTCACAGTAAAGAAAGACCACATCTCGAAAAGATAGCCTCTGTACCAAAGAAAGCCATCTTTATTAACCTACCATTCAAGGGTGACCAGATTATGCAGTTGACAGCTCAAAGACTTCGGTCAGCTATCAAACGCACATTCTACGCCGCATCTCTTTTTCTCAATTGCCGAACATTTTCGATCCCTGTACCTACAATCAAAGGACGAAATTCTGTGGACTCCACTTCAAACTGTATCTACAAGTTCACCTGCAGCTGCGATGACACCTATATAGGTAGAACCAACAGAACGTTCCAATGTCGTCTAGAAGAACATGTTCCAAAATGGCTAGTAAATCATATCGAAAATCCCAACGCGATTAATTTGAACAGAAATCCAGCATCATCATCTATTGCAAACCACTTATTAATGTCAGGTCGCAAAATCAATATTAATGACTGTTTCACAATAATTTCACATAACTCTAAATCAAGGTTATTAGAGGTGATGGAAGCACTTTGGATTAATCACATACAGCCTAAACTGTGTGTGCAAAAATCAACAGACTTCAATTTTCGCCTATCACGGACTACATGACCTATTTAAATAGGATTGGTCATTAGTATGTACTTTTGTTTCTTATTTAACTGAGTAATTGTCATGAACATTATCTTTTTACTGTTAACCATGTTATTTGTAAAGCGGTTGTGAAGAAACTACGAAATGATATCATCTCGCGAAATTTGTCATCTTAATGCCTTATTCAAATTTATCAAAGGGACTAAT